CCCGCCCGCACACCTCTCCCGCCGGCCGGGGCTGCGGGGCGGGTGGAGATCGCGGGGATGGGGGGAGGTGTGTGTGTTGTGTCAGTGTGCGTGTCCCTGTCACATATATAGAACACTTATGTGAGTCTATACATCTGCCCTCCCGCTGGGCTGCTGCCCGCCGTGCCCAGCGACTCCCCAGGATCGAGGGAGAAGGCATCCCATTGCACTTTCTTTTTTTTTTCTTTTATATATATATATATGTATAGTGTGTGTTGCTTCAGCCCGGTTAAGCAGCGCTTCGCTGCCTGTGAGAAGCATTTGACACACACACTCCCCCCCCTCCCCCCCTCCCCGAGGGCTCAGGGGTCGGTCGGTGCTCGGCAGGGCTGGGGGATTTGGGGAGGGAGGGGTTGCAGCATCGGCCCTGGGGGATGCAGGGGGCAAGCAGGGCTGCCTGGGTCTCACCCCGAAAGGTGCCCGTGCTCAGGGATGGCATCCCACCACCCCCCCCTCCCAAACCCTACGGGGGTTCTAGCACTGGACCTCTGCCTGTATCCCTCTGGGGGCTTTCTGAGACACACACCCCCCATGCCAAGAAGCCCCCCATGCAGTTTTCTGTCACTTCCCACCCACTGTGTCTCAGAGACACGATTTCATGCCCTGCGCAGCAGAGGTTTCCCCAGTGAAGGAGACAAGTCCTGTTCTGAGATTATTTTATTGGGGGGATAAAAGGAAAATAACTTTTTTGAATTGTCCTGACTACACCGGTCAGAGCATGTTAAATGCATCCCTGCTCAGCTCTGTTTACTGGCCATAAAGCTGCTATGCTTAAGATTTTGTTAGTGTCCATTCAAAACGGATGCTCCTGTTCTGGAATAAAGAATAAAACCAGTGCGAAATGTGCGAAATGTTTTATGAAAGAGGCTTTGGAATACCAGGTGCTTTTCGACAGCAAAATCCTAAAGGATGGCTCTCTGTGGAGTTTTCTGTGCCCCGTAACAGCACGCATCCTCAAACCCAGGGCAGGGCTGCGTGGTTTGATGCTTTATGGTTACTTGGAGAGTGCCAGGTTTGCCTTTGAAAGGTGAGTGAACGTCTCCCGGCTTTACAGAAGGGGTTTGTTTTAGTTCAGCACAGAGGTCGTTGTCAGGGCAAGTGTGTGCAAACTTAACTTTTGTTGCTGCCTGGGCTGTGCCGCCTGCGAGTGGGAAACCTGCGCTCCTGGGGTGACCCTCTGCTCACCTTCAGAACACCTGGGATTAAAAAGAAAAGAGAGCTGGAAGCCCTTGTGCAATCACAACCCAGAAGTGGAATGAAAACAGCAGATAAAACATGGTGCGCGGAAATAATCGCCAAAAAGAATCCTTTTCCTCAGGAGCCCTTATCTAATGGGGCTCAGCAAAATAAAGAAGCGGGCTCAGGGGTCGGTCGGTGCTCGGCAGGGCTGGGGGATTTGGGGAGGGAGGGGTTGCAGCATCGGCCCTGGGGGATGCAGGGGGCAAGCAGGGCTGCCTGGGTCTCACCCCGAAAGGTGCCCGTGCTCAGGGATGGCATCCCACCACCCCCCCCTCCCAAACCCTACGGGGGTTCTAGCACTGGACCTCTGCCTGTATCCCTCTGGGGGCTTTCTGAGACACACACCCCCCATGCCAAGAAGCCCCCCATGCAGTTTTCTGTCACTTCCCACCCACTGTGTCTCAGAGACACGATTTCATGCCCTGCGCAGCAGAGGTTTCCCCAGTGAAGGAGACAAGTCCTGTTCTGAGATTATTTTATTGGGGGGATAAAAGGAAAATAACTTTTTTGAATTGTCCTGACTACACCGGTCAGAGCATGTTAAATGCATCCCTGCTCAGCTCTGTTTACTGGCCATAAAGCTGCTATGCTTAAGATTTTGTTAGTGTCCATTCAAAACGGATGCTCCTGTTCTGGAATAAAGAATAAAACCAGTGCGAAATGTGCGAAATGTTTTATGAAAGAGGCTTTGGAAAACCAGGTGCTTTTCGACAGCAAAATCCTAAAGGATGGCTCTCTGTGGAGTTTTCTGTGCCCCGTAACAGCACGCATCCTCAAACCCAGGGCAGGGCTGCGTGGTTTGATGCTTTATGGTTACTTGGAGAGTGCCAGGTTTGCCTTTGAAAGGTGAGTGAACGTCTCCCGGCTTTACAGAAGGGGTTTGTTTTAGTTCAGCACAGAGGTCGTTGTCAGGGCAAGTGTGTGCAAACTTAACTTTTGTTGCTGCCTGGGCTGTGCCGCCTGCGAGTGGGAAACCTGCGCTCCTGGGGTGACCCTCTGCTCACCTTCAGAACACCTGGGATTAAAAAGAAAAGAGAGCTGGAAGCCCTTGTGCAATCACAACCCAGAAGTGGAATGAAAACAGCAGATAAAACATGGTGCGCGGAAATAATCGCCAAAAAGAATCCTTTTCCTCAGGAGCCCTTATCTAATGGGGCTCAGCAAAATAAAGAAGCTCAGAAATTCGAAGATGGGTAGCATCTCTGAAAAATGTGCCTCTCACGTGGTTTTATTTGGTTACTGAATTGAACTTCAGAGTGTTTCTGAAGATTACATAAACACCCACCCTGGTGAGGCTGGTTTTGTATGTTCCTGTACTGTAAGTTATGTCAGGCATTTTTTGTTGTAAATGACTCCGTATAACATAGGGGAGATTAAGCAGAATGTTACAATATACAACACGCCAGCCATCTTCACCACAAAGCTTGCAAAAACATTTTCTTAAGGCACATTTTGAAATGCTGACCTTTGTAGTCACTGCTTTATGGCGACCCTACAGATGTGTTTACAGCACTGAAATCTGGACGGATGGCTCTTGATTCCCTCCTTCCCCCACCAGGGTATCTTTTTCATTTTACGTGTGAGCTCCGTACTCTCCTAGCCGCCTTATTTGAGCGTAAGCTGTGTAAACACAACGGAAGAGATAGTAAGCCCATAAATCACAGGGCTGCCATCCCTTCACACTGGCTGCTCCTTGTGAGGTAAAGTTCTGCTGGGAATGAGTATGAGTGGGAGAAGCAGAGCCAAGGCGAGGGGAAACGGAAAGAAAAAAGGCATCTCACCAGCACTGTGCAGCAGTAGTAGCACCAAGACCAATTTTGATGCTTTCAGAAAAAGACCTGGCCAACAATACGGGGGTCCTCACTCTCCCGAGCAATTTGCATTCAGCCTCATGGGAGCCACACTGTCTCTGCAGGACCAAAGAGCCATGAACATTTCAGTTGTTCCCTTTCACCCTCCGCAGTTTCATAAAGAAGAATCCCAGACTGTGTGATTGATTTATTTTTCTCAGCCAGAAAGTTATGCACGAGAATGTACTTGTTAATCCCAATTCAAAATGGTCACTTAATCCACTTCATCATTAGTTCACTGGCAGTATTTTCCATAGCTGTAAATCCAACATTTCTCCACAGGCATCATTTCTTTCAGCTACATAAATGCTTTTTAATTGGAACAAATCCTGCAGTTGTGAATCAGTAGCAGGCAGAATGCCCGCAGACTGCAGGGAGAGCAGAGATTTCAGGCTGGCCCTTTAGGACTAAGGTCATTTCAGACACAGGCTATTTCCCCCCCAGGAATAACTCACGCACAAATCAAGAATCACTTGCCTCGCTCCAGCTAGTGTTAACAACAGTCTGAACAGCCTGCTGCAGATTAAGAAAATTCCTCACAGACAGGTTCGCTGAAAACATAGTCCCCCCTAGAGGTTGAAAGGATGAAATATTTTAATACCATCTGTACTGGAAATACATCCTGCCATTCGGACTTTCAGGTTCTTTCCCTGTTTTTCGAGAAATCTAGTATTTTTCTTTTTTTCTTTTTCTTTCAAGGAATCTATATTCTTCTGGAACACACCTTGTTTTTTGAGAAATCTAGTATTTTTCTTTTTTTTTTTTTTTTTCTGTCAAGGAATCTATATTCTTCTGGAACACACCTAAGGGATTTCTAAGGGACATCTGGGTGTCTCTTTTTGCATTTTATGGTCTTACCTTTGTACACTCATATTACATAAAAGTGCAGTGCTGCTTTTAGGTGAAAATACTGCAGCATGAAAACTTAAGATGAGCAGACCTGATGCTTTTTAAAAAAATAAATGGAAAGGAGACATATTTACTTGATCTTCTTTTAATTGACACCAACTTCTGTGTAGATATGTATACAAGAACTACAAAATGACAAAACTACAGAGACTGTGAGCACACATACAATACATACAGTAATAACACCATAATAATAATAACCACTCATTACTTTTGTTATCTTAACAGCTTCCGCAGAACTCATTACTTTTGTTATCTTAACAGCTTCCACTTCACAGCACAAAGTAAGGTAAAAGTGGGCAGGTGAATGTAGTTTTTATTTTACAAATGGGGAGAACAGAATTTGAAACACCAAACTGTGAGGTACCAGAGGTCTAGGGTGATCTTCAGATCCCTCCACTACACCGTTTATCTTCACTACCACTGCTAAAACCATGGCTCGATGGTCCTCAACAGTCACACAGTGCTACATCTACCCATCCTTTTCTTCACCAGA